ATATTTAATTTTAAATTTTTTTTAACTATTAGCAAAAGCTCTAAACAAATCAATCAAAAATAAAAAAAAATCTACAAAAACTAAAAAAAAATCAAAAGTAATTATTGATTCTGAAGATTCAAGCGAAAATGATCATAGGAAAAGCTTAAGCACTGATAAACTTAAGTATCAAGAACAACTTTTAACACTAAAAGAACGTGAGCTAGCCTTGAGAGAATGTGAAGCAAAAGTTCATTCAATCAAATTAGCAAATCTTAAAAAAGAGCAAGTATTAAAGTCTACAAGTTAAGGTACCCAAAAGCATTCACTTTGTAGAAAAAAAACTGCAAATTAAATCCCAAGGGTTTCAAAAAAAAAAAAAAAAAAAGTAATCATAAATTCAAAAAAAAAAAAAAATTTAAGTAATTGTACATGAGAAAAAATTATTTTGTACCTTTTTTTTACTATAAAAAAAAAAAAGCAAAAAAGCATTCTATGAACGTACGTACGTACGATTCAATAAAAATCTTGATTTTTGTTTGAGCGATCTCGAAAAATCTTGTTTGTTAATGCAATATTAGATATGTACAATCCCGCAAAAAACTTGATTTTGTGATAACAGTGCATATATGACCCAAAAAATTTTAAAATCTTTCGTTACTAACCCACGTTGAATAAACTTCTGTAGAATTTTCGTGAGACCACAATTAAATTATTTACGACTACACTACTCAATATATATAATATATATATTGAGTATTGTATGCTAGTTCTATATACTCAAATGCAATTAACGTATCATACACCACTACTTCACTACACCATACACCACAACTATTCGTAACACCGCACTTTTTGACCCATTGATTGAGGCGCTTGAGAACACCCTTACACATTATTCATCGTAATAATAAACACGCTTAATTAATTTTAAATATTTTCCGCTAAGTAAAATTTATTCCCCGACATTTTTCGACTCATTGATTGAGGCGCTTGAGAGCGACCACTGTATGTTATTCGTATTCATCAAATAAGTCAACATGAGTAAAATAATTAAAGAGCCTGAATTTCTGTGCTTAACAGCTTTAAATTTTATCTATCGCTATATTTGCTAACACCAACCAAATTGTTATGAATGAGCAGTACGTACTGAACGTACGTATCAGGTGTAAGTCTACTAATGAAGTTGATCCTAGAGCCATGAGATGAAAAATTCTTACCACACGAACATTAATTAATTATAAATTCCAGATCACGGCCGACACAAAAAACACTCTGTAAATATAAATATAAAATATAGCTTGAAAACTTAAAAGCGAAATTTATATTGATATGTCAGGTATATATTGAGAAATATCGCATCGACTATCTATAAGCAGTGGCTTGACATATCTCATGAATTTTTAACCATAGCGATAGTAACGGCTCAGCTATGCTCGATGTTGGTCGGCTTGGAATTGGCTCGGCTCTGGTCCGCAGAGTCAAAGGATGCTCAACTTGGTTAAAATTAGTCCTCGTCAATTTTATTAGTACGTACGTACGTACAGACTGGATTGTTTGAGCAGTGGAGCGGGGCCGATGATTTTCGGTGTTTTACATAATACCACAAAATTCACAGAAATAGGTCTATATCACAGAATATGTTTATATCCACAGAATATGTTTATATCACCGCAGAATACCACAGAAAATAGTAAATTACAGTCGTCCTCCTCTACAGTCACCTTCTATATAGTCACACCCTCTTTATAAGCACCATTTTTTGAAAAATTATTGGCCATTTATTTATTAAAAAACTTTATATAATCACAATGCTATTAAATTTTATAATCACATCTTTTTTATGTAAATCAAACCGCGTGATTATAGAGGAGGACGACTGTATATAGAAGGATCACATAATTTAAACAGGAGGAAACGTACCCGATCCAAAGTGAATCCCACACATGGTGTGATCAATTGCGATAAATTAAAACTGA